GGAGCAAAAGAAGAAGAAGCAGAAGAAGAAGAAGAAGGAGGAGAATGAGGCGAACAAGGATAATATAAATGCCACCAACTCCTGCTCTTGCTGAGGCTGCCGATGATGATGATGATGAAGTTGTTGTTGTTGTTGTTGTGGAGAGGACGGCGGTGATGATGTAGTAGTGGTGGTGGTGGAGGAGGAGGAGGAGGAGGAGGAGGAAAGACGTGATTGGACCTGACGGTACAAGTGTACTGCTGGTCAAGTAGAAAACCAGCGCCTGAGGGAATGAAAAGAATCACAACGACGACAGAACATGACTTGTGGGGTAGAAACCCTCTGTGAGAGATGGTTGTGTCTGTAAACAGAGACAAATATCATGTTCTCACCATACACGTAGATGTTCTTGTCGCAGAATGTGGCGACAGAAGAGCCTGAGAAACAAACTGAGAATCTGACGGGAAGCAAAAACGATGAGGACATGTTGAGAGGCCCCAGTCGACCTGCCGAAGTTGATCAGAAGGAGAAGCGATGGAGGGGAGCGAGGGGAGGAGGATCAACAACGAGCATAGAGGAGGTGAAGAAGCAACCTCAGCATAAGCTTGTGCTATGTAGATCTGTGCAAAGAAAATTTCAACAATCCTTCTTTTCCTGCTCCCGCTCGTCCTCCTCGTCCTCCTCTTTCTCCTCCTTCTCTTCCTCCTCCTTCTGTTTCTTCTTCTCACAGCCTCTTCACCTGATGGTTTGCACACGAGCAACCGGGAAATCCGCAACAGCCTGAAAACAAGCTGTAGGGTAACGACCCTGACTGCAAGACAAATCTATCAAACTTCTTGATGCGTCCCCCGCCCCCCCCCTTTCCCTCTCATCCTCCTCCTCCTCCTTCTCCTCCTCCTCCTCCTCCTCCTCCTCCTCCTCCTTCTCCTCCTCTTCTACCACCACTACCACCATCACCACCACTCCTTCCGCTCTGTTTTTCTTCTTCCCATCCCCTCCTCCACCACTATCTTGTTCTCTCCTCTCCGCCTCTTCTTCCTCTGCTCTTTTTGCTTACCCGACGGTCAATCTCGAGTTGTACAATCTGCAGGTAGTAAGCTCAAAGACAACAATAGGAGCTGAAACCTGAGATGACAGGTCGGCACTGAGAGGTGGAAATTCACAGACGATCTCCTGAGAGAAAGATGTCAACGATTGGAGTTGTTATGTCCGAGAGCGAACACACAATGAAGAGAATGGATGAAAACATCTTCATGACCATCATCAAACTCCTCGCCATCATCATCATCATCATCATCATCATCATCATCGTCTCGTCGTCGTCGTCATCATCATCATCATCATCGTCATCATTGTCGTCATATCATCGTCATCATCATGATTTTGGACTCTTCACGTCTCCTTCTCCTCCAAGATTGTCGCAGGTCATACCGAGCTCGTGATCTGCTCAACGTCGTAACCTTCTATGATAACATCGAGGTCTGAGATGTTCTTTGCAATCAGTCGGCATCTGTACCTGGTTTCATCGTGAGAACACAATCTGTCTTGACACGTACATGTTCATCCTCTGAACTCATTGTTTGTCCTTCATCTCTCCCTCGTTCCTTCCCCACCACTGCTGTCCTTTCTTGTTGTCTGCTTTCCATCTAGAACGTGCGGCAACTTACATGGAGCCGGTTGAGAAGCCATATCCGTTGACAACAATCTGCATGTGGTTGTATCCGATAACTTGTGGTATTGATACGTTTCCCCTGCAGAAAGAAGCTTGAGCACGGTTGTGGGAGAGAAACGACGACGACGACGACGACGATGATAATGAGGGGGAGGGGGAGGAGGGGGAGGGGGAAGGGCAGCAGCAGAAGCAAGAAAATGTGATTGAAGGAAATGGAAAGTTATGTTCGACTAACATGATTGTTTCACCAGCACTGGTGATATTTACAATGTCTTCAAGGAACGTATAGCTCAAATCTGGAAAATCATCAGAAACAATAAACTTGAAGGAGAAAGATCAACAACACGCAGAGAAAACTTACATCTGCTATTATGACCATGAGTGATCGGAGAGGATCTCGTTTCTTCCAGCGTTATTCGCGCGTCTGCAAAAAGCGTCATGTTGTGCATGTGTTGATAAAAATCCTCTCACTCATGATAGGGAAAGACCATGATGGTGTGGAGCAGGATAAGAGTGAAGAGTTGTGGACAAGAGCGGCAACGATGATAGTTTGTGTTGTTGATTCCTCCTGCTATCAACCGCATAAGAGCTCAAACAACACGAGGTGAACGAGGGACTGACTGTAAAGCGGCACATGAAGTTGTAGGTAGAACAGTTGTCTTGCTCGCAGAAGCCCGTCCCGTGTAGAAACAATCTGCATGAGGAGGAGGAAGATCGAGTAAGGACAGCAGAAAAAGGAGCAGAAACTCAGACGAAAGGAGGAAGAACAACTGAAGGTTTTCCTCCACGAACTTTACCTTTGTCCTCCCCTCGCCGATCCCTGGGTCTCCTGCGTCTCCTGCGGGAACCAAGTCCAGAGCTCGAAGGAGACCTGTCATGTAGAGGTCAGCAAGCAACGCTCATCGCTGATGTCGCTAACAGGGATGTGATTGCGCAAGAACAAGTAATCTTGCACAACACTCAGGGCGGCCATCTGGGAGAAGGGCCATAGCGGCGACTGACAACTGGAGAAAGAGAGAAGAAGTTAGGAGGAGGACAGTGATGTGCGTGTTGTTGCTAACGTGAGGTGTGTATCGTTGACGACTTGAGCTGGTTCAAGTTTGACACCTGTCACTTGTGTGTCTTGGAGGTGTTCAGATCGTGCAGTTGAGTTGCTGCCGCTGGCAGACATGTCAGGACATTCTGTTGAGGAGGGACAGCGCGGGAGGTGTTTGATGATCATATGTGTGTTGTATCATCGTTGATGTTGTGATGAGAGTTGAGATGATAAGCTTCAAAGGTTCTCACCGCAAAACTTGAAGGACGTTGATGGAAAAAGTGTCTGATTGCAGTCAGTGACAAGAGGAAATGTAGGATCATTCCCTCACAAGCGCTCGCCGTCAAGTTCCACTCATGGTCAAAGAATATTTCTGTTGGTGATGTCAGGAAAAAGAAACGAGATGTCGTACAGCGACAATGACAGGAAACACTATCAAACTCAATGCTGCCATTTAAGCTGAAACATCAACAAGAAAATCAAGAGGTGGAATGTGTACACGTGTAACATTTCCATTTCAAAACCATTGCACGAAACATCAACAAGTAAAAATCAAGGGTAGAAGTTAGGTGTCAACAAGGGGAGAGTGAATTTCAAGAAAGTTCAGAGAGTGAATCATTCAACACATCCTTCAAACTACCAATCATCATGGAAGAGTACAGCTGGTTGCTCTCAAGAGTTGCACATCTGTCAATCTTGAAAAATTTTCCTTTCAGAGAAACAAAAGTTTTGTCATCGATGTAGAGTTCAACCTTACGAGCCTCTTTTGTCGCTGAGCCAGTCGCAACTGAAAAGACAAGAGACAGAAAACAAATCAGAGGAAACATAACAAATGGAGCAACGAGAACAGATTGTGCATTCACGCACTGATAGCAATCGCCGAGTTGTTGATGGAGCAGAGGAGTGAGAGAGAAGAAGAAGCATTTGTTATCAAACTCGTCGCTATACAAGATCGAAATATCAAAAATCTGTTGTTTCCTGCCATGAAGAGGGAGGAGAGACGGGGGGAGCAGGGCGAAAGAGGGATGATGATGATGATGATGATAAGGAGGAGGAGGAGGAGGAGGAGGAGGAGGAGGAGGAGGAGGAAGAAAAGGAGAAAGAGAAGGAGGAGGAGGAGGAGGAGGAGGAGGAGGAGGAGGAGGAGGAGGAGAAAATGCCAAAGTTGAAAATAATCATCACCTGAGAAAGTATAAACTTTGATATCCGGTAGGGAAATTTCCGTCAAGATCGACAGAATCTCATCATCTACCCTCAGCTGAACAGAATCAAGTAAGAAATAGTACATGCATATCGAAATTCAGTTGTCAAAAAGAGTCTACCTGGAAGGGGTAAGGACGGTCGTTATGATACATCATACCGATGCCGTCGATGTTGATCCAATCTAGAGCACAAGTGCAGGAAAAGAACAAAATGGTCAAATTGTCTATCAGCAAGTACAAGTATCTTCGAGCTCACCAGCGCTGACAGAGACAGGGTACGTCAGGTTTGCAGCTGATGCTGATGACTGAAAACAACAACTTTGCGAAAATTTGCAGGTTGAGTTCCTCCCATTCAGAAGGCCATCAGCTTGTACAAGAATCTGTTCCGAAACGATTCGTCATTGAAGACGCGAGAGATGGCAAAAGTCCGCTGTCATGGGCGGTCTGACCTGTGTGCTTGAGAATGCGCTGAACGAGGTCGGGAGAGCCGAAGTCAAGAAGCCGGAGATGTCGACGGATGAGACGAGCTGAGCAATGAGAAGAGAAGTGAGAAAAGAATCGAGAAGAGAAGAGAGATGAGAGGAAATGGAAGGAGAGGAGAGTGAATTAGGAGGGAGACGGAAGCGTGCAAGACGATGGAGATGATGGAGATGAGGACAACAATCAAGGAAGAAAACGATGATGAGGAGGAGGAGGGAGGGGGAAGGGAGGAGCATACCTCGATCCTGGCTTCTGGGATTATACCTACCGTCTCTACACCATTGGCTGTATTAAAACTTCACCCTTCTCATCCCCCTTGCTGGGAGACCCCTTATACCTCCAGCTTCCCCACCCCACCTGGATATTTCATGGGGCGAGTTACGGGGAAAACCTTTTCCATTTCTCTCTAAGAATTATTGACTATCTGTTTTTGCTTATAGCCAACCCCCTTTCTAGACTCTCCATCACCCATCTCA